CCGCGTGGAGCTTCCTCCCAAACGAAGTTCGAACCAGGTTCGACAGCCGAATTGAAACAATAGAATCTGGGTCGAACCAACAGAGTAGTAAGCTTCGTGCGGGTACTCCTTCGAAAAGCAGGTTCGAACCAGGTTCGAATTCGGTTCGGAGCCATCGAAAAGTGGGCGTATCGCGCGGGAGCGTTTCGTGCGGGACTTACTCGAGAAGCAGGTTCGAACCAGGTTCGAACTCGGTTCGAAACAGTCTAAGCGTGAACGTTTCGTGCGGGACTTATTTGAACACGCGACGCGGGCTCAAACGAGTCGCGTGCGCCGCAGTGGCAACATTGGACCAGATTTCATTCACGCTCTTGTATGGAGAGGGAACTTGGAGGGATGGTTTGTTGCAGTATCGTGATGCGTTCAGGGTCAACACTGGTCCTCCTCCTCCTCCTCCTCCTCCTCCTCCTCCTCCTCCTGGGACCTAGGCTTTCTATGAAATGGGGACCTCAGACTTTGCCATGTTCCCTTCTAGAGGCGGTCGCTCCTGGGGGAGGGGTCAAACTAGTGAACAGCCCCCCCCCCAGCCAGCCAGCCCCACGACGGGGGCCCCCAATCCTCCTCCTCCTCCTCCTCCTCCTTCCTCCTCCTTCTCCTCCTTCCTCCTCCTCCTCCCTCCTCCTCCTCCTCACTCCTCCGCCTCTGTCAGCCACGCCCGCAGGGGGGGGGGGGGGGGGGTACAGTGGGGGCCCACGCCAAGAAACACCCTGCTCGCGTCCAGGGTGCCCTGGGTTTCTTGGGTCTGAAAGGTTTTGCCATGGAGGGCGTGGCGTTCCCACACCAAGAATCGATGGACGTCCTGGGGTCTCAGGATCGTGGTTTCGTGTGGAAGGTGTCTTGCGGTCGGGCCGCCTGAGGCCCCGCCGTCCTGTGCCCTGTCTCCCTAATTAAAGTTGTGCGTAGCCCGCCTAGCTTTTAGCGGAAGAGGTTCGCTCTCGCCCCGCAGATAAAACAAAACAAGTGTCTTGCGGTCGGGCCCCTACCGCAGGGGGAGGGGGTAAGGCTTCTCAGAAGCACCCCTGCGTAGAGGGCGCGGGCCTTGTCTGTAGGTGGAGGGCCAGCGCCTTCTGAGAAGCGGCCTCCTTCTAAGAAGCCTTTCCCCGTCCACCCACCCCCTTGTTGGCGACGCCAATGCTGAGCGTGGAACTGGTGGCTGCCTGGGGGGGTTCCACCGGGCATGGGGGAGCTTTGGGCTGTCCTGGTGGTGGCCGTGCGGTTGTTGTACGGTAGTCCCTCCCGCCAGCCATGTTATTCCACCCCCCACCCATTATGAGAGCTGTGCGTGGCGGTACGCACAACTGTACCGTGCCGGCCTGCTTGTGGCGTCGTTTGTCTGAAGTTGGTGGCTGGAACGGCCTAGCGGTCGCCAGGGTAGCTGCGTCGCTTTACCACTGAAACTCGCGAGCAAGGAGGTTGGCTGGGTGCGGCGAAGGCAAGAGTGAAACGGTGGGACAAAGAGGCGAGCGGGCGTAGCTGTAGCCGCTCTCGCCAATGCCACGGTTGGCGGCGCCGATGTGGCAGCCTGGCGCTGCACTGGCGCTCGACAAGCTGGGAAGGTAGAGAGACTACGTGATCCTGCGCACGAGGTTTGGAAGATGTGGCGAGCGGCGAAGGCCACTCTCGCCCAAGGCGGAAGGCGCAAGGGCACCTCCCCCCTGCCCACAGGACTTGGCATCGCTCGGACGTGTGCATCTTTCCTTCGGCGAGGACCATCGAGGAGCATCCTTGATCATTTGGCGGCGAAAAAGCCACGCACGAAACCGACAAAAAACACTTGGAATGGATGTCCGAGCGATGCCCACGGGAAGCCCCCCAGCCGGCCCACAGCGCGCCCCCCACGACGGGAGCCCGCGCCCGCAACCGAGGCAGGCGTAGGGCACCCGGACGTGGGGCTGGTGGCTGCCTTGGGGGGGGGGGGTCCACCGGGCGTGGGGGAGGTTTGGGCCTTCCTGACGCCGGCCGCTTCTCGGAGGAGGAAAGCTACCCCTCTAGCCTTCTCCCGTTTTCTCCTATTTTTGGGCCTCCTGGGCGGTCCTCGTCGCCACCGCTGGATCCGCCGCGGAATTCTGGTCAGAGCGCACCCCAGCAGAGGTCCGGGGAGCAGCGGTATCGGTGCCTTTTGATTTCACCAGTCTAGAGGTTGTTTTGGTTGCCCCCCCCCCCCGCTACATAACCCGTACGATCCCTTCCCCCCCCTCCGTTGCGAGTTCACACAGCTGCGCTGTGCCAGCCTCAGGCTGTAGACTGGAGCGCCCTAGCATCGCCAGGGTCGTTGTGCTGGTTTCCACGGGAGCTCCCGAGCGAAGTGGTTAGCTGGGGGAGGCGAGAAAGTTTTAGCTCCTCCTCCTCCTCCTCCTCCGTCTCCTCCTCCTCCTCCTCCTCCTGCTCCTCCTGCTCCTCCTCCTCCTCCTCCCCTCCTCCTCCTCCTCCTCCTCCTCCTCCTCCCCCTCCTCCTCCTCCTCCTCCTCCTCCTCCTCCTCCTCCTCCTCCTCCTCCCCCTCCTCCTCCAGGGGGGGTAGAGGCGAACGGGCGTGGCTGTGGCCTCGGTCGCCCGTGCACCGACGGGCGGCACCGGCACGGCGGCCTGGCTCATGCACCGTCGGCGGGTGCGCCGGGAAGGCTGCGTGCCTCTGCGCGAACAGCGGGGAAGACGTGAGCGCGTGCAGCCGGGCCCGCACTCGCCCGGGCGGTGGCCTGAAGGCGACAGGCAGCCTTAACCGCAGGCCTAGAGGTTGACACCAACACCAATATCGGCGATGTGCCTCCACCGAGGGAAGAAGATCCCGATTTCGGTGATGGTGGTAGTATTCTGGCTTCCAAGGTGGTCGAATTATTACCACCAACACCGAAATCTAAGATCACCTTCCCCCTGTGGAGGCAAACCCCCTGTGTTGGTGTTGGTGCCTATTTCCAGGCCTTCAAAGCTTACCTCCCCCTCCGCGATCCCGAAACGACTCCCGCCGCCCCGTCTCGCGGTCAGAGGTGCTGCAGGCGTGGGCAGGGCGAGCGAAAGAGGGCGGCTGGGTCTGGAGCAGCCCGGCCGTGCACTCGGCAGGCGATGGTGGAGCCTGCGAGCTCTGCAGAGGTACCCGTGCACCGTGGCCGCCGCGACCCTGGCCGGGGCAGCCGGCGGTGAGATCCTCACATCCCGCCCCCCCCCCCCCCCGAGTAACATCCCGCCCAGCCGTCCCCCGGCCACGAGTGTGGACAGAGGCCCAGGTTCGTGGGGCGAATGGCGGGGTGGCCATGCACGAGAGGGTGGAGCCAGAAGCGAGTGGAGGTTTGCAGAGATTCCTCTCACCGGTGCGTGGTTCGCATAGCATGCGTGGGTGAGAAAGCCAAGCATAGCGTGCTGTTGATGTAGCCGCCGCAGTGCAGGCCATGATGTGAGCGCCGTTGCATGTGCCAGTTGAACAGTGGGAGTGTTGCAGTCGCCCGATGTGTGGTCTGCAGCATGCGGGGGTGAGACTGCCACTGTTCTGAACCCTCTGCGTAGCATAGCGTGCTGTTGATGTAGCCGCCGCAGTGCAGGCCATGATGTGGGCGCTGTCGCATGTGCCAGTAAAATGGGTGGGAGTGCTGCTATCGCCCTGAGAGTAGGAAGGTGGAGATTTAGCTGGGTGCCCAACCGTTGCTGCTGCTGCTGCTGCTGTCCATAAAGTGAGTGTGGCGGTCTGGTGCGGTGAAAGAGTAAGGCCGAGGTCTGGAGTGGGTATGGAGCAGCTGGTGGTGTCCATCTCGATCGTCTTAGGACTCGATCCTCTGCTGTCCTTGGAGAAAGACTTGTGGACTGAGTGGTAGGAGTGGCACGCTGATGGGCTTCCGTTAGGCAGGTCCCGTCTTGGCATAAGGGTGGTGTGCAACCCCGCCTGCCGCTGTTATAAGAGACCAGGGGGGAGTGCTTGTCCTCTCCGAGAAGTGTGGGCCGATGGGCCGAGCGGGCGGGGTTGGCCAGTGTTGGCCAGGCCCGGCGTGGGTCTCCTGCGTTGTCGGCAGACCCCTCCTCGTCATCTGGCCGGGCGTAGAGCCGGTTCCGACGCCCGTCGCTGCTTGTGGTGGTCATGCGGTCGGGTCTCGTCTTCGTGCGCTCCGTGTGGTCGTCGCCCTCGTAGTGTTCCTCTTCGCTGGCGTCTGTGACCGCTTGGACGTCGGAGCGAACGACGGGGGCACCCAGTGTCGCAGATGGCGTCCTCGCTGCTGGGCTTGCTGTTGTCTGTGCTGATGATTCGAGTCGCGGGTGGGCGCCGCGGTACGATGCCTTCCAGTGGCGATGTCGGGAGGGTGTGTTGTGCTTGAAGCTTGTCGCGGAAGCGTTGACGGGGCGTCAGGAGCATCCCTCCAGTGAAGATGGTGGATGTTGAAAGTCTGTGGTCGCTGCGATGGTCGGGAGTCCCAGTGGTGGGGCTCTTACCTCGGTTGTGGTCCGTCCCCTGCCGGGTGCGGTGCTGCTGGTAGTGTGTCCCGGTACATTGCTGTCGCGTGGGCCGTGTCCGTGGTCGGGTGGGTCGTCCGTGTCGTCTGGACCTGGTCGCGTTGGCTGGCCCTTCCGAAAAGCCGGTGGCGCGGCGCCATGGCTGTCGATCAGGCCGTTTATTTTTTCGATCATGTGGTTGGCGATGCCCCTCTGGTAAGCTGATGCTGCGAACGGCGTTGGTCTTGCCCGAGGGATTGTAGCGTATTCCTAGCTTGGTGGTCCTCACGCTCCACCCTTGCGCAGTGGGGGCTTGGTAAGTCCCTGCGGTCGTTGGCCACTGGATGTGCGGTGCTGCAGAGCTGGTGGATGACGGAGCGCGAGGCCCCTATATTTGTCCGTCATCCCGAACGCCCCGAACGCGTGGACAGCTCGGTTGGCAGCCTCGCCCAAGTAGTTGTCCAGCGGTCTGGACAAGCTTGACCTGGCTCTTGTCGTCGATGTCGTCGTGCCCCCACGCCGGGGGCGAGAGAAACTGTTCAGGTTGTGCATGCTGACGTCTATCGCGGCGCCTGGCCTGGCCGGCGCTGGCCGCGGCCCCCCTGTGGGACAAAAGGAGCGGAATCGGGCGACAGTCGCTAACTCATTCCTCACTCGAACTCCTCGCTCGCTCCTCCTCCTGCTCCTCCTCCCCCTCACACTCCTCACACTCCTTCTCCTCCTCCTCCTCCTCCTCCTCCTCCTCCTCTTCCTCGCTCTCCTCCTCCTCCTCCTCCTCCTCCTCCTCCTCCTCCTCCTCCTCCCCCCTCCCCCCCCTTCTCCCCCCCCCCCCCAGGTGCTCAACCGTACGCTCGCGGCCATCAGCGGCCTCATCCTGGAGGAGGTGGACGACCCCAACTACGAGCCCTGGGCCGCCGTGCAGTGGTTCTCGGGGGAGCAGGGCGGGAAGCCCCCCCGGAGCGGCCCCCCTCGCGACGCGCCGCGCCGCGAGGCCCCCGCCGCGGGCGGCCGCGAGCACGATCGCGACCGCTCGCCGCGCGGCCGGGGCGGCCACGAGCGGGGCGGCCGCGAGCGCGACCGCTCGCCGCCGCGCGGCAAGGGCGGCGAGGGCGACGAAACTTGGAGGAGGAGGAGGGTGGGGAGGAGGAGGAGGAGGAGGGAGGGAGGAGGAGGGGAGGAGGGGGAGGAGGAAGGAGGGGGAGGAGGAGGGAGGAGGAGGAGGTGTGAGGAGGGGGAGAAGGAGGAGGAGGAGGAGGAGGAGGAGGAGGAGGAGGAGGAGGAGGAGGAGGAGGAGGAGGACCCGGACCCTGCCCTCGCCGAGCCATGGTTCCTGGCAGCTCGGGCGGCCAAGAGTCGGGCGATCGCCAGCATGGATCGAGGGGGCGTGGATTAGCGGCGGGTCCCGTCTCCATGGGAAATCGAGGATCTCCGCCGCCGAGCGAGGCGGCACTGACCGCATTTTGGGGGCCACGGATGTGGCGACCACGCGCCAAATCCATGGATCGCTAATCCATGTTTGCGCTCCTCCGAAAGAGGGGGCTGACGACTAGGGTCTAGGCCTCCTAGATGGGGTCGGAGTAGATGGGGCCGGAGGATCGCGCCGCATGGCCGATGCATGCATCGCCGATGCGGCTCGATGTGGGGCCCGATCTTCTCCACGCCAGCGTCGCCGATGCACCGCCGGTGTCACCGATGCATCGCCGATGCATCGCCGATGCATCGGCGATGCATCCCCGATGTATCGCCGATGCGGCGCGATCCTCTGACCCCATCTACTCCGACCCCATGAGGCCTCCAAACCCGGCCCCTGCCCCCGCCGAGCCACGGTTCCTGGCAGCTCGAGCGGCCAAGAGGAGGCTGACGATCAGGGGGCGGTGGATATCATGGCGTTGGCCAGGACATTTCCCCAGATTTCCTGGCGCCTCTTCTTGAACTCGTTACGTCCCCCTGGACACCCGCCGGGCCGCGCACATGCCGCCGGCCATGATTTGCTCCCCCACCTCTTGGACGCCTCCCTCCTGGCCGCCTCCGATGGCAGCTCGATGGGCGGCTCGATGGGTAGGGCTCGGAAGATTCGCCAGGCGCGTAGCGTACTTCCGCAGGCCGAAAGATATTCCTCTCGAGCCCCACATGTCGGAAGGGACGCGCCGTTCAGGTGAGCGGATACATGTAGCGCTCGCTTCGAGGTGGGGTAGATGTGTTATGGGTGAAGATGCGGGAGTTGGCAGGGCCAGCTGTGGCGTTCGAGCAAACTTATGTTATGGGAGGACTTTCGGGAGATGGCCAGGCCCGCGGTGGCGCTCGAGCAACCACATGTTATGGGAGAAGTGAAGGGAGGTGGCCGGGCCCGCTGTGGCGCTCGAGCTTCCGACTTGGACATTTTGCTTGTGTGTCCTCGCCCTCCCTCATCCCTTCCTCTCCTCCTCCTCCCACTTCCCCCCCTCCTCCTCCCGCCTCCTCCCTCCTCCTTCCTCCTTCGTCCGTCCGCCTCCCTCCTCTCCCCTCCCTCCTCCCTCATTTCCCTTCTCCTCCTCCTTCTCCTCTTCCTTCCTCCTCTTCCTTCCTCCTCCCCCCCTCTCTTCCCTGATTGTTCCCCCTCTCTCCCCCCCTGCGTCCCCTCTGTTTTCCTCCCACCTCGTCGTGCCTTTTTCCCTCATCCTTCCCCTCTTCATTCTGGGAAGACCCCCCTTCCCCCGTAGAATCATAGCATTGGTCTGCAGATCCACAGCTCCGTGGATCCTGGGGATGTAGCATGATGTTTCACTTGCGGTGCTCCGCGGATCTAATTTCCCCTGGGTCCCGGATGTTTGTTGTTGTTATTATTATTGTTGTTATTAGTTTATGATTAAGATTATTGTTATTATTATTATTATTATTATCATCATTATTATTATTATATATATATATATCCGGGGAATGAATGGATCCATCGTTTTTCACACACAGGAAATTGGATCCGCGCAACACAGAAATAGGATCCAGGAAAATCTCCCACACCCGAAAAAAAGGGATCCAATTGGATCCGTTGATGTTTTCATATTTTTGTCCAAGGGGAAACAACTTTCGGCCTGGGGATGTAGGATCCAGACCCTGAGCTCGTGTCGATTCCTCCGATTCGATTCGATTCGACGTCGATGGCTGCCGATTCCGAGTCGATTCGGCTTGGGATTCCGATTGGGATCTCGACTTCTCACCGGAGGCGTACTTGACTTCCGATGTCTACCGATTCGGCTCTTCCCGACTTGGCCGCTGGTTTCCGCCGATCCGATTCATGTCGATCGCCGATCCCGATTCTGGGCTCTCCCTCCCTGCCCCCGCCTCCCATCGATTCAGGAGGATCGATGGTCGGCGGGTGTCGGGCTCGAATGTCTCCACCTATCGGGTAGGACATCGATCGCACAATTTTTGTACTCCAGAGTTTTCTCTTGCCGTAAACCCTACGAAGCAGACGCACACTGTGCGTACATCTACGAGCATGTTGTGCTTCCCGTGTAAAGTGGACGAGCACATCAATTGTGCACGCTCGCGTATCCCCACCAGCTGTTCGCAAATTCGCACCGTTCCGCAGCCCCAGACGTCGCTCCCGCTCCTTGGCGGTCGCCTTGGAGCCGCTAGCCAAACAGTATCCCCACCAGCTCGCCGGCCCGTCGGCGTTAGGCAATTCGGCTCTTGCGCGGCCCGCTCGGACCTTACTCGCCGTTGGCGCTTTCGCCTGCGGTCGCGACGCAAAAAGTATCCCCACCAGCGACGCAGCTAGAGTGTCACGACTTTCTGACGGCGTTCGGCACTTCCGCTACGCTTGCGATCAAAACATATCCCCACCTGCCCATCCCAAAACAACACATTTTGCGACGCACGCCGACGGTCGTGACTTTCAGGCGTGTCTCCTCCTGCTCTCGCATATCTCATCCTCTTCCGCCCACCTCCTACCTACTTTCTGTTATAGGTTCTTGTGGAGGCATTGGGAGGAGGACGAGGCGGAGCAGGAGGAAGAGAAGGCGGTGTGCGGAGAGATGAGTAGGATAGCAACGGCGGTGGGAGGAAAGGAAAAAGGCTACGACGATGATGATGACCGCGACAACGATGCCGCCTCCTCCTCCTCCTCCTGCGACGACGAAGACGAAGACGAAGACGAAAACGACGACGACGAAGTCAATCATGAAGGCGTTTCTGGGTTTGTCGCTCTTGGGGGCTATGTTGCAGGTCTCTTGATCCTTTTGGGGTCCTCGTGGTGCCTCTTGGGGCACCCTTGAAGCTCATTTGGGGGTCTTGGGGCCCTCTTGGGGCTCTTTGAAGGGGGTCTGGGAGGCCTCTTGGGGCCATCTTGGAGGCCACGGCTCAAAAAAGGAATTCGGAGTCAATTGCCCCCCCCCCCCCCCCCCCCTTCGGAAACCGAGAAGTCGCCTCTTGGGGCCTTCTTGGGCCGCTCTTGGGCGCTCTTGGGCGCTCTTGGGCCCGTCTTGGGCCTCTTTGGGGCCTGTCTTGAGGCTCTTTTGGGCCATCTTGGGACCATCTTGAAGCCTCAAAAGCCCACTGACAGCGAAAAGGCGAGAAGGCCCAAACATTGATTTTCTTGTTACCTAACAGCGAAGACTGATAGGTCTCTAATGGGAAAAAAGAGAGCAGCAGATGACTCCACAGGGGGGTCTGGGCGGGTGCCGGACAGGGTGCCGCAGAAGTCGCTTTAAGCCAACAGTCACACACTTCGTGCTCTTCGACCTCCCAGAACTGCATTCCCGGGCCACATTCTGAATGCCCGGAGCCAACTGTAGGCCACTTCGTGCTCTTCGACTTCCCAGAACTCCATTCCCGGGCCACATTTTGAATGCCCGGAGCCAACTGTAGGCCACTTCGTGCTCTTCGAGTTCCCAGAACTCCATTCCCGGGCCACATTTTGAATGCCCGGAGCCAACTGTAGGCCACTTCGTGCTCTTCGAGTTCCCAGAACTCCATTCCCGGGCCACATTTTGAATGCCCGGAGCCAACTGTAGGCCACTTCGTGCTCTTCGAGTTCCCAGAACTCCATTCCCGGGCCACATTTTGAATGCCCGTAGCCAACTGAGGCTGAGGCTGAGGCAGGCTGCTGCTGAGGCAGGCTGAGGCTGAGGCTGAGGCAGGCTGAGGCTGAGGCAGGCTGAGGCTGAGGCTGAGGTGAGGCTGAGGCTGAAGCAGGCTGAGGCTGAGGCAGGCTGAGGCTGAGGCTGAGGCAGGCTGATGCTGAGGCAGGCTGAGGCTGAGGCTGAGGCTGATGCAGGCTGAGGCTGAGGCTGAGGAAAAGGTTGAGGCTGAGGCTAAGGTTGAGGCTGAAGCTGAAGCAGGCTGAGGCTGAGGCTGAGGCAGGCTGAGGCTGAGGCTTAGGCAAGCTGATACTGAGGCAGACTGAGGCTGAGGCTGAGGCAGGCTGAGGCTGAGGCAGGCTGAGGCTGAGGCAGGCTGAGGCAGGCTGAGGCAGGCTGAGGCAGGCTGAGGAGGCTGAGGCTGAGGCTGAGGCTGAGGCTGAGGATGAGGCAGGCTGAGGCAGACGCTGAGGCAGGCTGAGGCTGAGGCTGAGGCAGGCTGTGGCTGAGGCTGAGGCTGAGGCAGGCTGAGGCTGAGGCTGATGCAGGCTGAGGCTGAGGCAGGCTGAGGCTGAGGCTGAGGCTGAGGCTGAGGCTGTGGCTGTGGCTGAGGCTGAGGCTGAGGCAGGCTGAGGCAGACGCTGAGGCAGGCTGAGGCTGAGGCAGGCTGAGGCTGAGGCTGAGGCTGATGCAGGCTGAGGCTGAGGCTGGCTGAGGCTGAGGCCGAGGCTGAAGGCAGACTGAGGCTGAGGCTGAAGCAGGCTGAGGCTGAGGCCGAGGCAGGCTGAGGCTGAGGCTGAGGCAGGCTGATGCTGAGGAAAAGGTTGAGGCTGAGGCTGAGGCAGGCTGAGGCTGAGGCTGAGGCAGGCTGAGGCTGAGGCTGAGGCAGGCTGATGCGGAGGCAGGCTGAGGCTGAGGCTGAGGCTGAGGCTGAGGCTGAGGCTGATGATGCAGGCTGAGGCTGAGGCAGGCTGAGGCTGAGGCCGAGGCTGAAGGCAGGCTGTGGCTGAGGCTGAGGCTGAAGCAGGCTGAGGCTGAGGCTGAGGCAGGCTGAGGCTGAGGCTGAGGCAGGCTGATACTGAGGCAGGCTGAGGCTGAGGCTGTGACTGTGACTGCCGTTGCCACTGCGACTGTCATCGCGAATGCGACTGCGACTGCGAGAACAGGAGAATTCTACAACTGGATTCTCATCTGGATCTTAAGGGGAATGTTTCCATATATGCTTCTACACATCGCTGTTAGGTTGCTTTGCCAGGATAATTTATTGCGAGTTTGGCCTCTCGGGGGCGTCCTTGGGAGGCTCCGTGGCCACTTGGGGCCATCTTGGGGCGGCCTTGGAGCCTCGTGCAGGCTTGTTAGGAACTATCTTGATTGAATCACCGAGGGCTATCTTGAGCGACCTTTGAGGTAATCTTGAGCTCTCTTGGGCTGTCTTGGCGCCATCTTAGGCCCAAACAGACGCTCCACCACCCACGCCCCCCCCCGCTCAGGGGTATGGGGGTAGGGGGAGGGGTCGAGTCACCCCCTCCCCGCCCGCAAGCCGTCTCGCTCACCCCCACCCGCCCTCCCAACACATACGTAGCACCCGAGTCTGGCCCGAGCCTCAGCATATTCAGCAGTCGTCTTTGGATGGGCAGCTACTGGGGGCCAATCCGCCGCCGCCGCCGCCGCCTCCGCCGCCGCCGCCGCCGCCGCCGCCGCCGCTGCCCGCCGCCGCCGCACCCGCCGCGCCGCCGCCGCCCCCCGCTGCGTCAACCGCCGCCGCAGCCGCAGCCGCTGCCGCCACCGCCGCCGCCGCCGCCGCAGCCGCCCGACGCCGCCGCCGCCGCCGCCGCCGCAGCCGCCGCAGCCGCCGCCGCCGCCGCCGCTGCAGCCGCCGCAGCCGCCGCCGCCGCCGCCAAGTGTACTCTGTATTGTTTTTTGACAGGGTTGGCGGGGGGGAGGGCCGCATCGGGCTGGCTGCGCATGTCCCGAATTTGGAGGCAAAGTGTGTTTTGTTTGATTTTTACCTAACAGCGAAGACTGATAGGTTTCTAGTGGTCTCAAAAGAGAGCAGCAGATGACTCCACAGGGGGGTCTGGGCGGGTGCCGGACAGGGTGCCGCAGAAGTCGTTTTAAGCCAACAGTCGCACACTTCGTGCTCTTCGACCTCCCAGAACTCCATTCCCGGGCCACATTCTGAATGCCCGGAGCCAACTGTAGGCCACTTCGTGCTCTTCGACTTCCCAGAACTCCATTCCCGGGCCACATTTTGAATGCCCGGAGCCAACTGTAGGCCACTTCGTGGTCTTCGAGTCCCCAGAACTCCATTCCCGGGCCACATTTTGAATGCCCGGAGCCCACTGTAGGCCACTTCGTGCTCTTCGATTCCCAGAACTCCATTCCCGGGCCACATTTTGAATGCCCGGAGCCAACTGTAGGCCACTTCGTGCTCTTCGATTCCCCAGAACTCCATTCCCGGGCCACATTTTGGATGCCCGGAGCCAACTGTAGGCCACTTCGTGCTCTTCAAGTTCCCAGAACTCCATTCCTGGGCATGATTTTGAATGCCCGGAGCCAACTGTAGGCCACTTCGTGTTCTTCTAGTTCCCAGAACTCAATTCCTGGGCCACATTTTGAATGCTGAGGCAGGCTGATGCTGCGGCCGAGGCAGGCTGAGGCTGAGGCAGGCTGAGGCTGAGGCCGAGGCTGAAGGCAGACTGAGGCTGAGGCTGAAGCAAACTGAGGCTGAGGCTGAGGCAGGCTGAGGCTGAGGCTGAAGCAGGCTGATGCTGAGGCAGGCTGAGGCTGAGGCTGAGGCTGATGCAGGCTGAGGCTGAGGCAGGCTGAGGCTGAGGCCGAGGCTGAAGGCAGACTGAGGCTGAGGCTGAAGCAGGCTGAGGCTGAGGCTGAGGCAGGCTGAGGCTGAGGCAGGCTGAGAGGCTGAGGCAGGCTGAGGCTGAGGCTGTGACTGCGACTGCCGTTGCCGCTGCGACTGTCATCGCGAATGCGACTACGACTGCGAGAACAGCAGAATTCTACAACTGGATTTTCGTCTGAATCTTAAGGGGAATGCTTTCATATATGCTTCTACACATCGCTGTTAGGTTGCTTTGCCGGGATAATTTGCAAGGGATGGTGGGGAGGGGGTGTCGGCATGGACTCGGGTTGGCCCCCAGTGATCAAGACACCCTCCCCTCCCGCAAGGGTGTCGTTCACTCCCACCCGCCCGCCCAACACATACGTAGCACCCGAGTCTGGCCCGAGCCTCAGCATATTCAGCAGTCGTCTTTGGATGGGTAGCTACTGGGGGCCAATCAGCCGCCGCCGCCGCCGCCGCCGCCTCCGCCGCCGCCGCCGCCGCAGCCGCCGCCGCCACCGCCGCCGCCGCCGCTGCCCGCCGCGGCCGCCGCCACGGCCGTCGCGCGCCGCAGCCGTCGCCGCCGCCGCCCGCCCGCCGCCGCCGCCGCCGCCGCCGCCGCCGCCGCCGCCGCCGCCGCCGCGCCGCGCCGCCGCCGACCGCCGCCGCCGGCCGCCGCCGCCCCCCGTTGCCAAATCGCCGCCGCCGTAGCCGCTGCCGCCGCGCCGCGCCGCCGCCGCCACCGCCGCCGCCGCCGCCGCGCCGCCCGCCGCCGCCGCCGACGCCCAAATCGCCGCCGCCGCAACCGCTGCCGCCGCAGCCGCTGCCGCCACCGCCACCGCCGCCGCCGCCGCCGCCGCCGCCGCCGCCGCTGCCCGCCGCCGCCGCCGCCGCCGCAGCCGCCGCAGCCGCCGCCGCCGTTTCAGCTACCGCAGCCGCCGCCGCCGCCGCCAAGTGTACTCCGTATTGTTTTTGACCGGGATGGTAGGGGGAGGCCGCATCGGGTTGGTTGCGCATGCTCGGAATTTGGTGGCAGTTTTTTTTTTTTTTGTTTTTTTGTTTTGTTTTGTTTTGTTTTGTTTTGTGTTTGTTTTTTAAATAAAAAATATACAAGGGATGGTGGGGGGGTGCCCTCATTGTTCCTGGTTGGCAACCAGTCGCCTGGGGGAAAGGGTGTTTATGAATAGGGAACAGTGATAAACCCTTCCCAGAAAAGGGACAATGGGGTGGAACAGAACGGGCTCTCTAAGCCACCTCCTCCCAGAGGGCTGGTGGCTTTCCGCGGGGGCAAGCCAGCTCTGTGGTCGATCTCCCGCTCGAGCGCTCAGTGGAGACCCATGCCAGGCAACGCCCCGCTTGCCCCCTAGGGCGCCCCGTGCCCCTTGAAGTCCGATGGCCCCGCCGCCGAGAGCGCGACGCCCCCACACCAAACATGAACCATGCAGCCCTGGGGCTTCGGGATTGGGGCTGCTCGTGGAAGCTGCTTCGTGGCCGAGCCCGCCCCTGCTGCAGGCGGCCACGAGCGCGGGCCGGCGCGCGGGCGCTCGAGGTCCCCCGGCCGCCGCAGGTCGCCCGCGCGGCAGGAGCCGGCCCCCGCCGAGCGCGGGGAGGCGGCCGAGGGCTCGCCCCTGGAGGCGCTGGAGCGCCTGGTGCCGAGGTTCCCGGAGGGCGCGCTGCAGATGGACTTCGTCGGGGGCGGCGAAGATCGGGCCGGACGAAAGGGGGGGATTGGGTAAGGGGGGGGTTCGAAACTTGCTGCATGCAGCTGGTTTCGGCCCCGCCGAGGGGCCCATTCCTCGATACATAGCCGCCTCCTGGCGCCGGGAGGCGCCGGGAAAATCAGCTACGTGAGCTGATTCTCAGACACCCCCTTTGCTGCTATCCCCCCCTTTCGCCCGACCCGAGAAGAGGGGGGGGGATGACTAAAGTGGGGGGGACATCACTGGGGCAGTTCTGTCGATTCGCGTCGCTGCGCGTCGATGACCGTCTGGGAGTCGAAAGGATAGCCCGAGTTGGCGTCGATCGGCGTCGATGACCGTCGATTTAGCGTCGATTTAGCGTCGATTTAGCGTCGATTAGCGTCGGTTCGAAAGAGCCGACAAGATGGTACGGGAGGCTCCCATGAGTTGCCTCCGAATTCTTAGCGGGCGGGGGTCCGTGCAAAAGCGGGGTCAGCCAGATCGCCGGATATCCAGCAGGGCTCTGCAACGCCGAGAGTGCGTGGGCCTGGGCTGCAGCCGACCCGAACAGCACGGATGGGCGATTTTCCCCAGGGTGCCCTTGCATCCTTGCCTGCCCGACCCATCCTTGGCCACTCTCGCGGGCCGCGCCCCGCTCGAGAAGCTTCGGCACGGCCTTCCGAGGCCCTTGCATCCTGACACGGGTTGGCTGACGCGCGCAGCATCCTGCAGGTCTTCTGCAGGCCCTCGCAGGCTCGTGTTGCTCCCATCGTACTTACGGACCACACCCAGAAATAGTTTCGAGCACCCGGAAAAGTGTCGAGAGAGTGTCGAAACAGAGTCAGTGTCGGACGAGCGTCTCCCAGGGCCCGGCACCTGAGAAAGCCCTCGAGTTTCGGTATTTTTGGTTCTCGAAGTTCTTTCTGGTGGTCAATGCTAAAGTAGGTTGGAGCATCATAATTGCCGGCTCCTGCCAACGCCGGGCTGGCCCGGGCTTGCATTGTTGGCCCTGTTGCGTCGCTAGGTGGCCACATGCGAACCCCACCCTCCCCCTCAGAAATCGTGGGGGGGTAGGGGCAGGCTTCGCATGTGGCCCCCTAGTCGCTCTCCGAGGACCACGCGGTCTCCTGCGACCTCCCCCGGGAGGCCGTGGGCCCCCTCCTCGGGGAGGACGGCCGCTTCAAGGCGGGGCTCGAGCTGTAGTGATGGGCCACTTTTTCCCCCACCACTGCCATAGGCAGGACGGGGGAGAAGGGAGGCTGGGGAGGTCCTCCTCCTCCTCCTCCTCCTCTCCTCCCCCTCCTCCTCCTCCTCCTCCTCCTCCTCCTCCTCCTCCTCCTCCTCCTCCTCCTCCTCCTCCCCCTCCTCCTCCTCCTCCTCCCCCTCCTCCTCCCCCTCCTGATCCTCCTCTTCCTCCTCCTCCTCCTCCTCCTCCTCCTCCGCTCCTACCTATGGTGGTGGTGGTGGTGGTGGAAAACAGCCTATCATATAAGCGGTGTTTTTTTTGTGGCCGCTCTCGTTTTGATCTCGCTCTGCAGCAGAGGCGGAACGAAGACAGGACGAGGGAGCACGAGAGCAAAACGAACACAGAAGACACTCCTTGGCTCGAGCGCTGCCACAAGGGCTACGTGGAGAGGGAGACCGGCACCGTCATCTCGGCGGGGAGGGTTGGAAGGGGTGGGTAGGATGGGACGGGCGTCAACCCAACATATTTGTACTTTATGTGCGTCGCCTCCCCAAGGGCGCCGCGCGCACCGGGAGCTGTTCTAGTATATGCGTTGTGGCGGGCGCTTTCTGTTCACACCGCTCGGGGAACGATACACTACAAGGTGGGTATACTATATGTTCGGGTCGGACGCGCGCCTCCGAGGAGGACATATGGTATTAGCATGTCTTTGTGCGGGAGGAAGATGATGGGGGGGGGCGTCAGGGCAGAGAGGGGGTGGGGGAGGGCAGCGGGGGAGGGGAGCGAAGCCGACCCCGGCGGAGCCCACCGCCGGCGAAGAGCTGGTCCCAGCGGAGCCGGCCCCAGCAGAGGGGAGAGGCTCGGGCAGTGCCACGGAGGGTCACCGGGCCGATGATCGTGGAGGATTTTGATCGCTTTCGGCCTCAGTCACCGCCCCGCGTTGCCAGGCCGCACATGCACAGATGGGCATGATCTGTGTTTCAACCTTTGTCTCATGGCCCCTTCTGTAGTAACAGACCCACGTTGGAATCCAAGTTCCACGGCTCGCCAAGTGCCTATGCGCAAACGTCCGAAAGCACGCGGCTGCTCCCATGTAATGGATCGCAGAGCCGCCTCGGCGGATGCAGGCCATCTGCGACCAGTTACTGAGCGAGTCGTGGAGCGCGCTTGTCTGTTCAGGGGTCCTGGGGACTCTGGGGGGTGGGGTCCCCTGACCTTCCAGGAGGGCTACAAAATAGCACCCGACCTAAAAACCTATCGTAGAGCTATTCTACGTCTTGGTTTTAGGCCGTTTCGCTCAGCTCTTTAGGTTTTTAGGCCTCCAGTGCTAAAGAATAGCTCTCTGGAAGGTCAGGATCTGGGGGGTCCGTTTCCTGGAGGAGGTGGCATCCCCCCCCGGTAGCGACTCATTGTCGCATTGGTCGGAGGGGCGGGGGAGGTGGACACGAGCCTCGGGGAAGAGCACCTGACCATCCTGGTCACGGGGCCGCTGCTATGGGTCTACGCGGCTCACTGCATGGTCATGAAGAGATACCACGAGCTGGACCTCGAAGAAGAAACAGCAGCCCAAGCATACGCTTTCGGAGCTTCGCGCCGATCTCTTGGACCTGCGCTGCACTCCCCTGGCCGGCGCCTTCAGCGCCGGTCCAAGAAGTCCAATCGGACCGCCGAACGTCTGTGCTTGCACAGCCAACCCGCAGAGTGAGGATGGGCAACCTTCCCAAGGGGCTGGCCTGCCTCCTTCGAGAAACGTTGGCATGGGCCTCCAAGGCCCTCGCATCCTCACCGCGCATCCTGATGATACGGGTTGTTCGGATGCAACTCCTGGGAGGTCAAGTTCTGTGTTTGCCCTGGTCCGAAGTCCGGCTTAATCCGGGTGAATCCGGCTTCATCCCGCTGAATCCGGTTTGATCCCGCTGAATCCCGTTTAATCTGGCTGAATCCGAGGCCCACTCCGGCATAACAGCCCCCCCTCATGGGGCTCCATCCTCTTTACTTTTTCCGACGAGGACCTCCCAGGAATTAGTTGCCTCCTGAGGGCTGGCTGCACAAGTTTCTCCTTCCTTCAGGAGCGGGAGAAGGAGGACCGCGCCCGAGGCCGCGGCGGCTCCGACATCGCCAGCTCCAAGGTGGACGAGCTCCAGGCCCAGCTGGCGGCGCTCCAGAGCCAGCTGGCCGAGGTGCAGCGCTCCCAGGGCGGCGGCAGGAAGTAACCTCTCGGGGGCAGCGCTGCGCGGGGAGAGGCTCTCGTTGCGGGGGGGGCGGGGAAGTTCTGAGCTCGAGGCTCGGGGGTTTGAGATGATTTTCCTATGCCTTCGTCGGTCCTCGGCGGCTTTCCAGCCTCGGTGTGTCCAGCGGCCGCGCGCCTCGCCTTGAGGTCTCTTCGGACGTCTTCGTCGGTTCGCGACGGTTCTCCAGCCTCTCGGTGTGCTTTCCAGCGGCTGCGCCTCGCCGGGAGCGCTCCTGGGGGGCCCGGATCGTCCCGAAGGCCGCCGGAGACGCGCGTGAAGACCCGAAGGCCAGGCGACGAAAGTCATTGGCTCCGGGGTGGGTGGGTGCATCGACCCCACAGGTCGCCCACTCGTCGCCGGTCAGGGCCTGCTGTCGTCCCGGAAACAGCCCCAGCCCGCCCAGGAACGTGGGGGCCCGCTATCCGGGGCGTACCGTCGGGGCCCTGAAGAAGGAACCCTTTTCGTTGGGGAAGGGCTCCGCGTTCCTTAAGTGTTTCACAGCTTGCCTCAGGCTTTCCTTATGTTTTCGACAGGAAATCGAAGGTTAACTTATGGGAAAAAGGGGCCTCGTTCCTTATTTAGGGTTCCTTAGGTCAGCGCCCCGACTGTATCGCCGAGTCCAGGTCAACGGTCCCCCTCCTGGGTCGAAGCAGAGATTCGGCATACGCATGAGCTCTGTGAGCTCCTCGCGTCAGGGAGGGGGCCCCGCGCAGATCCAAGGGGTCCGCGCGGAGCTCTGAAAGTTTTTACCCGCTGGTCGTTGGAAGTAGGCATTTCTGGACTCCCAGATCCCAACCTATTTTGGCCGCCTTCCTACTTCAAGGGTCGATCTCCTTCTCTCCTCCTCTTCAGGGGGCGGGCGGAAACCCAATCTGCTTCCAACGCCTTCCCACTTCCTGGCGCTACCTGTTCCTTCCGACCGACGAGTGTAGTGGGGGCCCATGCCTAGAAACACCCTGCTTGCCTCCAGGGTGACCTGGGTTTCTTGGGTTTCGATGGTTTTGCGATGGAGAGCGTGACGCTCCCACGCCGGCACACGACGGACGTCCTGGGGTCCCAGGGTTGGGTTTCTTCGTGGAAGGCTTCATGTGGCCGGGCCCCCACTCCGAGGCGGGAATTTATCCATATCCACCGCCTGGAGGGTCAGTTTTCGGAGCCTCGGCAGGCGGTGGATAGGGACGTATTCGGGCCCCCGGGGGCCGAACTATATCCATATCCACCGCCCGCTGGGGCACCAGGACGTCGGCTCCCGGGCGGTGGATGTGGATAAATCCCTACCTCGCCCCCGCTGTAATGGAGGATGACGATTAATGAATGACCGGGGGTCGTGTTCACGCGGCGGCGCCCGGGATGACGATTCGAAAAAACCGGCCGCGGGCCGGAAGACTATTCTTTTTAATCGTTCTCCTCCGGTCAGACAATTATGCAGAAATAGCAGAAGACTATTTTTCTAATCGTTCTCTCCCATTTGTTTTATCAATCGTCATCCCGCATTACGTTGACGCAGTTTTTTCTCTTGCTCTGCGGAGCTGGCCCCCGCACAGCCCTGCCCCTCCAAGTGAAGGCCCCGTCGCCCCGGCGTCCGGCCGCTCCCGCGGGCGGCCCCCCGCAAGCGTCGAGGCGGCGCGCGCGCGCCAGCGGGCGGTGGCGGAGGCGGGCCGCACGGCCGCCGCGTGTTTCGGGGGTGGACAGACCTCCTGCCCTGACACGTCGATTAAGGAATTGGCCGGTTTCGGTTCGCGAGAGGGCGTCGTGGCCGTCCTTTTTGCGGGTCCAGGTCCGTCGGTTTCGGTCCCAGGCCGTTTTCACTGAGGGGAGGTTTACTAAAGGGAGGTTTGTCCACCGGCGAGCGTTGGGGAGCCCCGAATTTGGTCTGTCGGGACTGGAGCTGGCTGGGAGGCTGAGGTGGCCCAGCACTGCGGATGCCATGGCAATGGGCACTCTAACAATCCGATCATTGAATCAACCATGTGTTTAAGATGTGTAAAACATGTTCTAGACATGTTCCAAACCTGTTCTTACATGTTTAAATCATGTTTGAATCATGTTTTAAACATCTGGGGAATTATTTGGCAACACGCTTCCTCTCCATTGATCGACTTCCACAAGCCTAGCACCTAGCACTTAGTTGTTGTCCAAAACGCTGGGGGCGAAACAAAGCAACAACACACATAGTTTATAGATCTGTGTATCGATATACACACATATGCCTACATCTAGGCCATAAAAAACCTTTTTCAGCTTTGCGGGCTTCGTCGAACCAGAACGGGGAAAAACGGCAGCTCAAGCCAGAACAAACGGCGGTACAGAATGGAACCGAACTGAAAACGGCGCAAACGAGGACCCTACGCGAAACACACATACCCCAGAACGGGGAACACGCGTCGATCGTAAAAAACACAGAAAAAAGCCCACCCAGCTTTTTTTAATTATCATTTTTTATATTATTTTCTTTAAGATAAAAAACAAAAAAACAAAAACAAAACAGCATCTACGACCAAGCACTGGTTCCCGCCCTCTCGTTGCCATAGCTGAGCGCGGCTCGAATCACTGGTCAGTTCCGACCCTCAGAGGTGTCTGGAGACCGATGGTGAGCGAATTTGCGACCGGCTTTCTCTGGTCGTATCCAGCTCGGACCCCTCGGCCACCTCCACTGTAAGGGCTTATAGTGGGAGGCGCATATTGTCTGCGGAAAGGTGCGGGCGCGCTTTCGCACCAATGGTCTCGTGGCTGCGCGAAGGATGAGAGAAACATAGCCTACGATCACAGATGACCGTGCCGGCTCTCCCTGCGAGGGTCTTCGAGGGGGAGTGCGGTCCTGGAGCGGCGCCAGATGCCAGATCTTCCTCATCGCTTTCACCCCACATGTTCCGCCTTCGCATCCTTCCATCCCTCGACCCTTGTTCTTTGTAAGTGGCTCTTCGTCTCCAGTCGGGCGTGTCCCTCTACGGGGGGAATATCCAAAAATAGTTTTTAAGATAGTCCGGGGACGCTTTTTAATTACATGTGGACTATGTTTGAATATTTTTAGACTTTTCTTTTTTTGTTTTCGTCCGAAACCCGCCTGTAGGAGAACATGCCCGACCTGGCCTTCGTCGCGCCACCAGACGCGTCGGCAGGGCGGGCGCCCCTGCATTTCGGCCCGAGGCTTTTTTCCCACAGCTCAGGATATCCGGAAGCTGGTGATCTCCAGTCGTGCGGATGCATGGCAGGGCATGTTCTGACTGTGGCTTCCGGCTTCGTGCCTTCGCATGACGAACGAACAACACACACCCATACCCATAGGGAGGTCGTTGGGAGGAGGACTGGCCATGGGTACGGGTGCGGGTCGTCGGACCCTGGGGGAAGCTCCCGTTCGAGCGGGGACCCCCATCCGACAACACGCACCCATAGCCTCCTCCGTCTCCCCTATGGGCATGGGTGCGTGTTGTCCGATCGTCATGCGTAGCAGGGCATGTTCAGACTGTGGCTTCCCGCTTCGTGCCTTCGCGGTCGTATCGCAGGCGCCTGCGGCGGACCACCGTCGCCCCCTGCCCGCCGGAAGCGCCCGGGGTGGCGCCAGACGTTGGGCCAGCATGCGGACAAGCTGTGAGGCAACATGCCCCCCGAGCTTTTGTGGAAGCCCTTGGGAGAAAACTTTAGGGTATGAATGCGTATCTACTTTGTTTTATGTGCATGTATGTTTATCCATGCTTATATTCGGTGCATCTTTATATATATATATAATTATGCATCCACGGTGGCCCTCCCCAAGCACCCCCCACGCCACCAAAGTCAACGAAACGATCATTCTTCGTCTCCTCGTGCGTCTTCTGCTCTCTTTCCTCTCCTCCTCCTCCTTCTCCTGCATTATCCTTCTCCCCCTCCTCCTCCTCCTTCTCCTCCTGCTCCCCTTCCTTCTCCTCCTTCTCCTCCTCCTCCTCCTCCTCCTCCTCATCATCCCCGTTCTCCTGCGGGAGCGGCCTTGCCAAAGGATTCCCCTTGATGCGGTCGTGCGATAGGATTCCTTCTGTGGCGCTTTACAGAAGGATTTCCTTTAGCGATGCCATAGAAGGGTTGTTGTCGTAAGGGAACCTGGTGAAAGCACAGATCACCCATACACATTAACGGATTGATAATGAAACCGGGTGAACACACATATCTATATATATATATATATATACAAGACTGCAGTGGCGCTTCGCGCCATGCACCTTGGTCCTTGAAGTTTGGTATGCAGGCGGAATGGCAGGAAGGTCAAGCCGACAATTTAGCGATAATTCCTAGTTGCCTTTTCCAGCATCGCCGCTATAATGATGTTATTCGTTATCATTCCTCCATGCTTATTGTTCTTTTTCCGCCATACCCTGCGGATTCTCCCCATCCTCCTCAGCTCTTTTTTGCAGAGGCTCCTCCTTGGAGAGCCTCTAGGGGCCTCACAAAAGTTGCTTCAGGCTTTCTTAAGGCCTTCTGGAGGCCTCCTGGGCGTATTCTGGGGGCCTCCGGGGGCTTCCTCGGGCCACCCTGCCTCCAACCGCCGTCTCCCTGAACGACCGAATCACGATTTGGAATTCTTCGGAGGGTGTCTTTGGGCCATCTTGGGCCGCCATGGGGCTCTCTGAGGGCCATCTTGGACCTGTGTTGTGCCGTTTTGGGGCTCTCTTGGACTGCCTGGAAGCCCTTTCGGATGGTTGTGGGGCGATTGGGGAGCCTCCCAGGCGGCTTCGGACGCCCAGAAGACCGCCGTCTTGGAGCGTCGGGAAGCCGAAAAGAGGAGAACCCCACAATTCATCAAAAACCAACAGAAAATCAGTATTTTTTTGCCTCGGGGGGCCTTCTTGGGAGTGCTCTTGGAGGCCTCTTTGGGGCCGTCCTGGAGGCCTCTTGGGCCATCTTGAGGTCACGTCGGTCACTCTTGGAACGCTCTTGTGCTGTCTTGGGGGTCTCTGGGACGTCTCCGATGACCCCCCTGATCGCCCTAAGTGTGCTGGGAAGGCTTGGCAAACCGCCTTGCGAGGCCCAGTGGCCGCTTCGAGGCCCGTCCGGAGGGCCCCAAAGCCCCAGGTCCCCGGAGTCCGTTTTTCTTTGGGGGGGGGGTGACGGGTTTTCCCCCCGCTCGGGCTTATAAAAATATAGGAAGAGGAGTATATATATATATATATATGTATATATGTAACCCAGATGTGTTCAAAGGTCTTGGTCAGGCAACCTGGTGAAAACACGGGTAACCAATACATGCATGTGTGTATACGTATATATATATATATATGACGGTAGAGGCCTAACCAGGAGCGTTGTTTCTTTGTTCTGCTTGTCTTATCATCCTTGCTGGTCGCCTTCCGAAGATCATACATCTCGGGGGCTGGCGATGGGGAAAGAAACACATCGAACATGAACAACAGGATTCCTAGTAGAAAACGCTGCGAAAGTATGATATGTAAAAGCTCCCAAAACGACATCCGCTGGAAAATGCTACTGAGGGTTACTATTGGAAAGCATCACGCCAGGAATGCTTTGGAAAGTACAACACATGTATTGCGAAGACCTTACGGCCGGTGCCGCCGACCCTGAATGGCGACGACGACGACGACGACGAGCGCTCTTGGGGGCCTCTTGGGGGTAGTTTGTGGGCCTCTTGGGAAGCTCTTAGGGGCCGCTTGGAAGCCTCGTGGAGGCCTCTTGGGGCTTCCTGGGGGTCTCTTGGAGGGGGCCTGGGACGTCTCGGAGGCTTCTTGGACGGTCTTGGGGCTATCTTGGGGTTTTGGCCGATCTTTGGGCGACTCGGGGCCCTCTTGGGCCGTCTCGGGGGCCATCTTGGGCATTCGGACCTCATTTGGAGTGTTTTCGAGGTTTCTAGGCCGCCCGAGGAAAAACGAATCTGCCCCCCCACCCCCCCGGGACCCCCCCGGGACCCCCCCCGGGACCCCCCGGGGGACCCCCCCCCCCTGGGGAAGGGATCAAAGGGAAGGGGCTTCCCTTCGACTCGATTACGACACTGCTAGATTTTTCTCTCGCTCACGAGCTTGAGAAGGAAGCTGCAGGGAAAGAGGACGACGGAGGCGACGACCGACGGAGACGACGACTCGAACAGCCAAGCCCCTCGCACACGCCGACAGGGTCGGCGGATTCGATTGGGAAGCCTCGCAACATGAATCCCTTGGACAACGCTGCTGAGGGTTCCGATTGGAAAGCGTCGCAACAGGAATCCTCCAGAAAATACCACACATGGGTTCTATAGGAAAGCCTCACGACAGGAACTCTTTGGAAAGCACTACTGATGGTTCCGAGTGGAAAGCGTCACAAAAGGAATCTTTCGGAAAGCACCACAAAAAGGGATTCTGGTGGAACGCCTCGCAATCAGAATCCTTTGCAGGGGGAACTCGCAAAGATATACATTATGACGGCTTTGGGAAAGCATAACACCTAAGGAACAATCAACACAACCAAAGAAATCAAAGGCAGACCGACGAACAACCCAACAGACCTAAGGACAAACAAACAAAAAGCAAGCAACAACAACGACTTCATTATTTACTCCACCTCTCCTCCTCCTCCTCCTTCTTCTCCTCCCCCTCCTCGTCCTCCTCGCCCCCCCTCCACACCTCACCCCTCACCCCTCACCCTTCACTCCTCCTCCTCCTCCTTCTCCTCCTCCTCCTCCTCCTCCTCTTCCTCCTCCTCCTCCCCCTCCCCTTCCTTCCCCTCCTTCCTCTTCCCCCCCTTGCCCTGTTCCATCGAGGGGGGGCATTATTAGAAGGAGGAGGAGAAACACGGGGGGAGGAGGGAGCGGAATGGATGAGGAGTGGAATGGAGGAGGTGTGTGAAGGAGAGTGCAGCGGAGGAGGAGTGGAATGGATGAGTGGTCTTCCTCTTGTCCTTCTGAGGAATGGAGGAGTGGCCTTCCTCCTTCTCCTGCTCGTCCTCCTGCTCCTTGGGCTGTCAAGCCGATTGAGTGTTGGATATCCGGGTGGCCGGCGGGTTAGGCTTGAGGCTATTGGGAACTTTTAGAAGGGCCACATGAGGTATAAAGTATAGCTCTTGTTGAAAAAAGTGCATGGGGGCGGCGGATCTAGTTGCCTTCGTCCCATCACGCCACCATGCCTGGGATTTGACGAGGCACCTCTTAAGTGCCTCTTGGGGTCTCTTGGGAGGCCTCTCGGGGCTGTCTTGGAAGCCTCTTGGGGGTCCCTTGGGGGGCTCATGGGGGCCTACCGTGCGCTTTTTCGGAGTCTCTTGGGGGCCTCTTGGCGGTCTCGAGGGTCATCTTGGGAGGAACGGCTCGAGATGTCAGTTCGAGTTCCCCCTCTTGGGCCCCTCTTGTTCGGGTGCCGCTTGGTTCGTCTTAGGCGCTCTGAAGACCAGAGAGCGGAGTTCGCCCAAGTCATAGAACAACCCTAGCTTTTCCCATGATTTTTGCCTCTCAGGCTTGCCCCCAGGGCCTCCAAGACGGCCCAAGACGCACCCAAGAGGGCCCTGGGACGGGCCCTGAGACCATCGCAGACCACGACGGACGCACGGAGCACCGGGCACGCTCCCGAGGCCTCCGAGAAGCTCACGCCGACCGCCCCGGTCGTGCCCGAGAGCGCCCGGAACGCCAGGGTCTGGGCCCCCTGAAGATTCTTTTGCAAGCTCAACGCAGAGAGCTCGATGGAAAGCATCTGAGGACACTGCACTCAGTGTCTACGGCCGGGTGGAGGCGAAGTTGTTTGAACGACCGTGGACCATGCGGACACGTACGCGAACGGAGGGCGGCCCCTTTTGAACATGGGTTTCTTGCTTGCGACGCCCGCAAGCATGATGATCAACAGTTCAATACACGTGTAACATCTGCGCGGATCAAGGTCGGCTCCCCTTCATCTGCAGATTCTTGGCCGTTGGATCGATTGTGCAACAGCTGCATGGATGTAGTGCCGCTCTTTTTTCAAAGCGGGGCTACCGCTGGGCCCTTGATTGAATTTCGTGCCCCCTACCCTTGGCATTCAGTCGGGCATGTCCCTCCACAGGAGGAACATTCAAAAGCAGTTTACAAAAATAGCCAGAGGACGACTTTCGACTATTTGGGACTATTTTCAAGTCTTTCTTTTACAATTTACCATTCTTTGTCCAAAATCCGCGTGTAGGAGGACATGTCCGATCTAACCTTAGCTCGGGTTGACCCAAAAGGGGCTCCAGCAACAAGGGGGTGGTGAAATAGATTTGGTGCAATCGATTCGTGGGGTTGCAGTACATTTGGGGCGCAGATGTATTGTTGTATTTTCGCGTGCAAGACACTACCTGCGATAGAATGCAATACAATTCTCCGGCGCAGTACGTTTGCAGTACAACTGCCCCAAATCTATTGCACCACCCCCTCTCAGCCGGACCCCCTTTGGGGTCACCCCGATCAGCATCTGTTAGAGCTGGAAGGAGGGCGGGCCGTTTCCTTTCAGGATGGGGCTGTCGCCCGCACGGCAGGCGCGCGGGGCCAGGGGGCCCTCGTCCTTCGAGGTGCGCTGCTGTCGCGGCGAGGAGGACGACTTGCAGGCACTCCCCGTGGGGATGGGCTTCGGGTCGGGAGAGGAGGGTGTACTGCAGCGTTCGGAGATTCTCGCTCGTCTCCTCCCCCTCCTCTCCCACCTCCTCCTCCTCCTCCTCCTCCTCCTCCTCCTCCTCCTTCCCCTCCTCCTCCCATCCCTTCCCCTCCTCCTTCTCCTCCTCCTCTTCCTCCTCCTCCTCCTCCTCCTCCTCCTCCTCCCCCTCCTCTATCTCCTCCTCCTCCTCCCTCTCCTCCTCCTCCTCCTCCTCCCCTCCTCCTCTCCCCTTCCTCCTCCTCATCCTTCCTCCTCTCCTCCTCCTCTCCTCCTCCTCCTCCCTCCCTCCTCCCTCCTCTCCTCCTCCTCCTCCTCCTCCTCCTCCTCTATCTCCTCCTCCTCCTCCTCCTCCTCCTCCTCCTCCCACTCCTCCTCCTCCTCCCCCTCCCCCTCCTCCTCTTCCTCCTTCTCCTCCTCCTCCTGCTTTCACCTCGCACTCCTCCTCCCGCTCTTCTGGAGCATGTCGAGGTTGTTGAGCCTGCCCTGGTCGCGGTTCTCCTGCGGTCGACGGCCCAGCATTCGCGCGAGATCCCCGTGGGGTTTTCGGCAGTTTTGAGGACCATAGGTGTGTACACCAACCCCGCAGGAGAGTTTCTTCGTCCTCCTCTTGGCCGTCGGGGTCCTTCTCGCAGCGGCTGGCTCCAGAATAGGTAGTTCCCACCCAACCCTACTGTGACTTGGGTCCTCGTTTTGAATCCGCAGCGCTCCTTCTCTTCTCTTCCTCCTCCTTCTCCTCCTCCTTCTCCTCTTCCTCTTCCTCTTCATCCTTGTCATCAGCGTCCTCATCATCATCATCATCATCATCATCATCATCATCATCATCATCATCAGCATCGTCATCGTTATCAATAACAACAACATCGTCGTCATCATCATCATTACCATCATCATCATCATAACCATAAGCATCACACCCATCATCATCATCTCATCATCATTAACATCAGTGCCACCGTCATCATCATCAACATCATCATCAGCATCACCATTCTCATCATCAGCGCCAACCGCATCATCACCACCATCATCAGCATCACCGTTATCATCACATACACATCAACATCACCATCATCAGCACCAACTGCATCATCACCGTCAGCGTCACCATCATACTCATAACGATCATCATTCTCATCATCAGCATCATCATCATCAATATCGCCGTCACCATTATCACCGTACTAGACCACTACCGTTATCGTTCACGTCAACACCATCAACACCACCATCATCGTCATCATCACCATCATCAGCAGTAGTTTCATGACTACCGTCATCACCTTAATCATCATCATCGTCGTCGTCATCATCATCATCCTCATCATCATCATCATCATCATCAACATCAACAGCACCACCATCATCATTAATCTCATCGTTGTCACCGTAAGCATCCCAATCATTAACACCATCATCGCCAACACCATCATCATCATCATCGTCATCATCACCATCATCGTTCATCATGGTCATAATCGTCATCGCCACCATCATAATAAGAATTGCCAACAGCACCATCATCATATTCACGATCATCACAGACATCATTATTCATCACGATCGCCACCCTGATCATCATCATTATCATCATCATCATCATCATCATCATCATCATAATCATCATCAGCATCAGCAGCGGCATCGGCACCGGCATCATCATGATGATCATCATTATGATCACGATAACCATCACCACCACCACCATCATCATCACCATCATCATGACCATCATCAGCATCTCAGCATCAGCATCAGCATCAGCATCAGCATCAGCATCAGCATCAGCATCGCCATCATCATCATCATCATCATCATCATCATCATCATCATCATCATCATCATCATCATCTTTACCATCATCGTCATCGTCGTTGTCGTCGTCGTCGTCGTCGTCAGCTTCGTCACCATCACCATCACTTTTCTCATCGTCACCACCATCATCGTCCTCGTTACCCTTTCGCCACCCCGCTCACACGTTTCGTGGCTCCACCGAAGGCCCCGAAGGCCCCAGTGGCAAAGTTCGCACACCCCGCCGATCCGTGTCGGCACACCCCTCACACGTTTTGTGGCCCCATATGGAGCTCCACCGAAGGTCTCGGAGGCAAAGTTAGCATGGCGGCCCCGCCCCATTTCGGCACGCGCATCACACGGGTCGTGGCTTCATAGGGAGCTCGACCGAAGGCCAAAGTGGTAAAGTCCGCATGGTGGCTTCACCCCATGTCGGCATATCCCTCACACTCTTTCATGGCCGCATAAAGAGGTCTTCCAAAGACCCCAGTGGTTGCGTTCGCATTGCGGCCTCGCCCAATTTCGGCACACCTTTTCTATGTTTTGTTGCCCCACATGGAGCTCGACTGACGGCCCTAGTAGCAAAGTTCGCATGGCGGCCATGTCCCATGTCTGCGCACATCTCACACGTTTCGCGGCCGCATAGGGAGTTTACCGAAGGCCCCAGTGGCAAAGTTTGCATGGCGGCCCCGCCTTATTTCGGCGCACCACTCACGCGCGTCGTGGCCCCATCGGGAGTTCCACCGAATCCCCAGAGGCAGAGTTCGTGTGGCGGCCCCGCCCCCGACTTCGGCGCACACATCACACCTTTCGTGGCCCCCCAGGGAACTCCACTGAAGGCCCCGGTGGCAAAGTTCGCATGGCGGACCCGCCCCATTTCTGCACATACCTTACACGGTTCGTCTTCCCATAGGGAGTTCTTCCGGAGGCCTTGGGTTCCTCGCGAGGTTATTTGTTTGGGGATTGGCAATTTGTGAGAGCGGGGAAGGTCGGGTGTTTGGCCTCCCCCCTGCCAATTGTCGCCTTGAGCGCCGCGCGCAGTTGACTGAGCTGTCGGACATGCTGGTCTCGGCGCCGGCGCTGAGTGGCAGCACGCTGAACGCCGCGGCAATGGAGTTTGCGCTGCTCCCAGGGGGTCTCTGCACTCTCCGCACTCGCCGCCGTTCAGACTTCAACAGCCCTGACACGGCCGCAAGTCTGCCGCCCCCGCGGAGGCGTTTGCACTCAGGAGGGCATGCCTCCTTTTGAGCACACGCTCGTGGCCTCCAGGGTCGCTGCGCTCAGAGGTCCCCCCCCTCTCCCTTCTGATCTCCCGCCTCGAGGCTGCCCTTCCCCCTCCCGCCTCGAGGCTGCGCCCCCTCCCTCCGCCCCCTTTCTGATCCCCCTCTCCCTGAGGCTGCCCTCCCTCTCCACTGCCCCTCCTTGGGTGGAGTGCTCCCCCTCCTCCTCCTCCTCCTCCTCCTCCTCCTCCTCCTCCTCCTCCTCCTCCTCCCCATGCCCCCTTCCCCCCCCTGGTTGCACTGCCCCATCGGGCACCAGGTTCAAAGCGAGCCGTCACAGTCGAGGCAGGACATGGTGTGCGTGGACAGGGCCAGCGGGGGTTCGGGAAGCTCTCCGGCCATCCCATCGCCTTGCTCCACAGCAGGGCTCGTTCCGATTGCTGCGATTCGATGCGATTCGACTTCGATGGTTTCCGATTCCCAGTCGATTCGACTTGGGATTCCGATCTGGGCTCCGATTTTTCATTGGAGGCATACTGGCCTGCCGACGTCCGCCGATTCGACCTTTCCCGACCCGGCTGCCGAGCTCCGCCGATGCGATCCGTCTCGATCGCCGATCCGGCTCGCCGACTCGATTCCGGGCTCTCCTGCCGCAGTGTTCCTTCCCTCTGCCCCCCTCCTCCTCCTCCTCCTCCTCCTCCTCCTCCTCCTCCTCCTCCTCCTCCTCCTTGGTCAGGGGGCGGCGGCGGCGTGGGGCGGTCCAGTCCCCGCCTCCCCAAAGAGGCGGGCCGCGGCCACCAGATCGGCCTGGCGGCCACCTCCGCGTGCCCTCGGCCCTCGACCCTCGTCGCGTCTCTCCCCCCCGCGCTTTCCTCCCCCTCCCCCTCCTCCTCCTCCTCCTCCTCCTCCTCCTCCTCCTCCTCCTCATCATCATCCTCCTCCTCTTGTGCATTTGTCCGTGGGCTCTGCATCAAAGTATGCCATGTCTGCCTGCCTGCCTGCCTGCTCCACCAGCTCGCGCACTCGCCACGAGTGCGCGAGCTGGTGTCTCGACCTCAGCTTCCAGTGGGTGGTCATCGGCACAGGGACTCGCAGGGACTCGCATTGTCAATCATCCGCTGGATTCGCCGCGGAAAGCTATCTGAGAGAGGAATGGGGGAATGCAGCAGCCCTCCTCAGAGTCGCCCCCGCAGGACCTATCTTGGAAAGCGTCAGGGTCTCGGTGCCAATCGAGCCGTGGCGGCGAGGACTCCCCAGGGGTCCCCCCAAGCCTAACTCGAAACCTCGGTCGATCCAAGCCAGAATTCTGGTCGCTCCAACTCGCAGCGATTCCAATTCGACACCTCGGTCGATTCGCCTAGACCGCGCGGGCCGAGATCTCGGTTGCGGCTCGACAAGAATCGCCACGGTCGGCGTTTCGGGGGAGCGCGAGAGGGGGGGAGAAGGAGGAGGGGGAGGGGGAGGAGGAGGAGGAGGAGGAAGAGGAGGAGGAGGAAGAGGAGGAGGAGGAAGAGGAGGAGGAGGGGGACCAGTGTCAGCCCAAGACGCATTAACGTTGTTGCAATAAACCCTTCCTCCAAGTTCCCTCTTCATAGGTCCATACAAGAATGGGGTTCCATTGAGCGAAGTGCTCTACTGAAAGACACATGTCCGAGAGTCCAGAATCGTGCTGAAACACCATTCCTGGGACTTCAGCACTGCGAATCACCGTGCCTGCTACGTCCTGATATTCCCAATTCGTGTCAAAACACAATTCCTCAGATTTCAACACCGCGGATCGACAGGACTGTTGCGTCCTGACAACCTTATTTCCTGCCAGAACACCGTTCCTGGGATTTCAACGCCGCGAATCAACGTGACTGTTCCGACCTGACAGTCCTACATCGTACCAGAATTCCGATCCTGCGACATCAACCCTGCCCCTGCGAATCCTTAAACCTGTTACAAACTCTTAGGATGGATGTGCGCGGCGCCAAGGCGAGAGCTACGTATTGAAAAGGAGCAGTCCTCGATCTTTGAAGCTGCTGCAAGCTTTCGAGCCGAATCTGCGCAGCGCTACGGCGAGAGCAACATTTTGAAAACCAGCCGCCCTCCACCCTTGACGACGCTGCAAGCTCGTAGGACGAATGAGCGCGGCGCCAGGGCGAGAGCCGCACTTTGGGAACGGGCCCCCTTCCATCCTTGAAGCGTTTGCAGATGCCAAGCTTCCAGACGAAGCGCCCGGCCCCGCCCTTCTGACACGCTTTTCGGTGCGATGGGGAGGAGTTTAGAAGGAAGGAGGAGGGAGGAGGAGGAGGAGGAGGAGGAGGGAGGCGGGGGAGGAGGAGGAGGAGGAGGAGGAGGAGGAGGAGGAGGAGGAGGAGGGGGAGGAGAGGAGGAGGAGGAGGAGGAGGAGGAGGAGGAGGAGGAGGGGGAGGAGGAGAAGGAGGAGGTCAGGAGGAGCCGAGATGCCAAGGTTCCAGGCGGAGGTCCAGTCCTCGGTGCTGCCGGGTTTGTCGCAATGTCGGACTCCGAGGCGCGCGGCCAGCTCAGCGCCACCGCGCAGGCGCCCACCTGCCAGCGGCGGTTTCGCGGTCAGCACTGCGGAGGGAGGATGAGAAGCGAGGATGAGTAGGAGGAAGGGGGAGGTGAGAAGGAGCAGGATCATGTGGAAGGACGAGGAATAATATGAGTGCGTGAAGGGGGCGAAAGGTGAGAAGGAGGATGAGGAGGAAACTGAGGAAGGAGGAAGAGGAAAGAGGAGGACGAGTGCGGGGGAGGGGGGCCTGAGGGGGAGCAGGATGAGGATCACGATGATATATAATGATCATGAGTAAGAGGAGGAAGAGGATGGAGGAACAGTGCGGGGGAGGGGGACAGGAGGGGCATGTGGATCAGGATCAAGAGGAAGAGGCGGAGGAGGAGGAGGAGGAGGAGGAGGAGGAGGAGGAGGAGGAGGAGGAGGAGGAGGAGGAGGAGGAGGAGGAGGAGGAGGAGGAGGAGGAGGGGGAGATGTTCTTGTCCTCGCGTCTCCGATGCTGGCCGGATCGGCCATCCGAGTCGCCTCGGAGCGCTTCGTCTCGGCCACGGTGGGTGGCCCTCGACTCGGGCATGCCAGAGGGCCGCCGCCTCGCGCCATCCTTCCACTTCCAGTGGGGGGGTGCGTCGGTGAACATTGAAAGAACACACGTGGAACCCGTACCCCCCCCGCCCGACATTTGGAGCTTCGCGCTGGGCTGGGGGTGGTCTGGTGGGGGATAGTCAGAGCCACGCTCGCCCTCCTGGGGGCCGACTCGCTCCAGCGGGCTGCCTGCGACATGCGGGCCGAGCTCCGCCGCGGGCCGGGCAGGGCAGCGTGCACGGGGGGCGCACGGGGGGGCGCAGGGGCCCGCGGGCTCGACAAGGGGGTCCGGATTGGCCCGCCCGCTGCGGCAGGTCGAGCACCGGGCGCCGCACGGAGAGGAGATCGAAGGTAGAGAGAGAACCTCTTGTCGTGATTTCTTCACAACGCGAGGAGGAGGAGGAGGAGGAGGAGGAGGAGGAGGAGGAGGAGGAGGAGGAGGAGCCAGGCGCATCGCCCTGCGCGCGCTCCCGGTGCGGGTGCAGGCGCGCGCGTGCCTCGCGGCGGCGCTGCTCCTGGTGCGACCAACCAGGGGGGCCCGCCGGGATGCGGCGCAGGACCGCTGGGTCGTCCGGTTTCTCGAGTTCGCGCGGCTCGCACCCCGCATGCAGCGACTCCGCGACCCGCTGCGACTGGCGACAACGACCCTCCTGGCGGCTGCTGGTCTGGCGGCGCGGCTCGAGGCCACCCCGCCGGAGTCCCAGCCAGCGCGGGTCGCGGCAGTGGCGGTGTCCGCCCCGTCAAGTTGGCTCGCCACAGTCCACCGGCACCTCAGTGACCCAGCGCTACCCACATGCCCGGCGTGGGCCGAGCGCGAACGCGGCCTCCTCCCAGGGACGTGCTCGACGCCCGAGGACGCCCCCCCTGCGGGGGAGCTCACAGCCGCCCAGAGGAAGCGGAGCGTCGCGCGCTGCCTGGACACAGCCGTCTGGCCTGCGCTGCTCTCCAGGGGCTACCCGCAGCGCGGCCTCCAGGCGGAAGGCGGCGGTGGCAGCGGAGACGGCGCCGCTGGCCGCCATCCGGACATGGGCGCGGTGCCGTATCCAGGGGAGGCTCGCCTCCCGACGGGGCGCGGGTGCTGCCGTGTGCGCCCGCGGCGGGATTGGCATGCTCCGCGACGGGGTGCACCCGCTGGAGAGCTGCCCGCGCGCCGCGGCAGCCGCGGGCGAGGCCGTCACTGGAACCTCCTGGGCGGGGCGTGCACCCCACGCGATCCTGGCCGGCCTGCGCGCAGGAGACGACGCGGAGGCGGGCATGGCGGTCGCAGCGGCGCTGGCGCGCGAGGTGCAGGCGGCGCCGGACGCGGGCGCGGCAGAATGGGTGGGGAAGAGACGGCGTACCCGTGGGCGGCCAGTGGGTGCTCCAACAGGCCCCGCGTCGTCGCGGATTGTTGGGGTGCTGCTGAGCTGGCCAGCAGTGCCATGGGAGCGGGATCTATCTCATCGTTGCTGTGTGCGCCGAGCCAGCCTGCTGGTCAGTGCCCGCGAGGACCCCATCGCGGCCGAGCGCGAAGGAAAAAGGAGGAGGACGCGGAGAAGGGGTTGGAATGGTGAGGGGATGGTGATGATGGTGCTGATGGTCATGTTGATGATGTTGATTGTGAGGGTGCTGATGATGCTGCTGCTGATGATGATGGTGGTGATGCTGCTGCTGATGAGGATTATGCTCATGATGGTGATGCTGCTGCTGCTGATGCTGCTGAAGATGCTGATGGTGAGGATGGTGCGGATGAGGGTGAGGATGAGGTTGCTGTGGAGGATGATTCGGATTATATAACATGATGGTCGTGCTGATGATGATGATGCTGGTCATGCTGATAGTGTGATGATGATGAGGAGGATGAGGAGGATGATGATGATGATGAGGAGGAGGATGATGATGATGATGATGATGATGATGATGCTGATGCTGATGATGACGATGCTGATGATGATGATGATGATGATGATGATGGTGATGGTGATGGTGATGGTGACGGTGATGGTGACGGTGACGGTGATGATGATGCTGCTGCTGATGATGATGATAATGATGATGATGATGATGATGATGATGATGATGATGATGATGATGATGATGATGATGATGATGATAATGATAACTGGGAAGAGGAAAACATATATCAGAAGGATAATATGTTTGCCGTCCCGCCCGCCCAAAAGTAACTCTTCCCTGTCGCATCCCGAGACATGTCGGTAGGGTGGGGCTGGGCGTTTCGTTTGAGACGTTCTCACCATTCATGATCCTTGCGCTGGCAGTTTGCATCAGTTTCGCGGGCTGAGGGTGGATGGTCTTCAATGTTGCTCTCGCTGTAGCGCCGCGCACACTTGTCTTACGAGTTCACAACAGCTTCGGTGATGGAGGGCGGTACATTTTCAAACTGTGGCTCTCGCTGTAGTGCCGCGCGCATTCATTTTAGTAGCTTGCATTCGCTTCAAGGATGGGGGGCGGCACCTTTTCAAAATGTAGCTTTCGCCCTGGCGCCGGGTACATTCGTCTGAAGCGTTTCAAGCAGCCTCGAGGCTTCTTATGGTTGACGTCTCGTAAACGGTGCTTTGGCACGATGTAGGCTGGTCAAGGCGCAACAGTTGAGTCGCGGTGTTGATGTCGTAGGAAGGGCTTCCTGGCATGATTCAGGATTGTCAGGACGCAACAGCAACGCTCTTTCCAGGCTTTTGAAATCCCACGAATGGTGTTCTGACACGGTTCAGGATTTTCAGACGTTTGTCTTCCAACGGGGCACTTCCGCCAGTGAGCATGACTCCGTGAAGGCACCTGTGAAGAGGGAATTTAGAGGGAGGGTCTAGTGCAATACCGTTGACAGGTCTTGTCTTTCTCCTCCTCCTTCTCCTTCTCCTGCCGCCCTCCTCCCTCTCCTCTCCTCTCCTTTCCTCTCCTTTCTTCTCCTCTCCTCTCCTTCCTTCTTCCTTCTCTCTCGCCTGCGGCACCATCCTGGCCACACTGTCGCTGATGGTCCCGACTCTGCGGCCCGGATGGTGCCGCAGAGCCTCGACCATCAGCGACCATGGCCTGCAGCCCTCTCCGTCCCGTTTGGCTCGGGTCCCTTTCCTCCCTCCCTCCCTCCCTCCCTCCCTTCCTTCCTCTCTCCTCTCTCCTCTCCCTCCTCTCTCCTTCTGTCTCCCCTGCGGCACCATGCTGGCTCTGGCCCCGGCCTTCCTTCCCCACCCAGTGCGGCGCACCGTGGTGCGCAGCGCTTCCACGCCGCCAGGCCGGCAGGCCTTACGCAGTCCCCCCTCTCTTCGGAGCGTGAATTACCTACCCCGCTTTCGCTTCCAGGCAAAACCAAGTCATACCACGCGCCCCCTCGTCAAGCGGCCTGACCAGTACAGGCCGCAGTTTGGCATCGCTTGGTATCTCTTGGAAGCGAGGGTGGTCAAAAGCGAGGTAGGTTTGTTTTCCCCCTATCTCTGTCCCCCTTCTCTGTCATGCCAGGGGGGCGGGAGCGCGCGCACGCCGGGATCCAGAAGCCCAGGCAGCACAGCAGCTCTATGCATGCCTAGAAAGGTTCGGGCAACTCTTGCCCGCAGGAACCTCCTTCGGCCTCGGGACCCGACCCTTGAGGAATACGCAACGTCCCCACCCACGAGGCTCGAACATCCAATGACGGAGTGACGACCGACTCAAGCCTGGGGGGGTGAGGAATGCGTCGACTTAGGCTGTAGGCCTCTCCGAGGCCTGCTCCTTGGAGTGGCAAGACCTGGAAGTGGATTCCCTTCGCAAGCCGCAGCTCTGCCTGACCCAAGCCTGAAGTGTGTCTGCACGCTGGCACCGCTTCCCGTGCAAAAGGAAACGGCCGGTCCAAGTTCGAGCCTGTGCAGTGATACTTGCACTATCTCGTGCCACTGAAAAAGTCACGGCTGGAGACGGCCAACGCTCCCAGCGGCAGGAGGCTCCGCCGCGGGAGCTGGGGCCGACTCTGTGAATGATCCCCATACCTTTCCCACTCTCTCCTGTGCCGCTACCCCTTCCGGCTCGCAGGTACTGACAAGCACTCATGATTGTAGGACTTGTTGAGAGGGGTCAGGTCTTCATCATCGTCGTTCATCCACTGCTACCGTCTGTGCCAACGGATACTCGCGAGGGGATCGGCCCGTCGGTCAACCTTCTCTTCACATCGCCGTTTCTTCAGGGTGCAGCTCGGGCGGGAGGGCAATGCGCGATGGGAGCGAGGCTCCGCGTGCGCAGTGCTTCTCGCATGCCTGCGCCTCCTCGGGCCCCAGCTGTGAGGCATCCAATTCGAGATCTGGCGCAACGTCGGCCGTACCTCCACCTCCGCGCGAGTCATGGATGTCGGCCTCGTGCAGCCACCCACGGAGCCTGTCGAGCCAAAGGGCAACGTCTTCAGCCCTGCGTTCGCAGGCTGTACACAGACCTCTTGCTCCTCTGGACTTCCCACAGACGGGCCCCAGCCTTGGTTAACTTGTCGGCCAACTGGCTGCCCCGAAGCATCCAGAGGTCACCGAGCGACGCGGTCTCGGAGAGCTTCCTGTGGGCCTTCGCTTTGTGCTCGCCAGAGGAGGCCCCAAATTTGTCCCACCAGAGCTACCACATGTGCCTACGCTCATTCCTGGGATCGAGGGCCTTCGTGGAGCTGCGTGCGCAACTGGCCGAACCTGCGCAATCGCTATAAATCTTCGAGGGTGACACCGTCGCTCCCTCCCGATGGGGGCTCTGAAAACTGAACCAGCATGAGAACCGCGCGATCTCCCCCGTCCCGCGCCCACTGGTCGGGCCTCCAATGCCTCGGCGCCACCCCATACATGCAGGCGGCGAAGTTGCCATCGCGATCTACTTGCACTGCTGACAGGCCTGCTTGCTTGCATGAGCCGTACTCCGTGCTAAAGGCCGAGCCGTCAACGAGCGTGGGCCCTCCCCCAAGCCACCCAGGATGGGGCCCCGACGAGTTGCGCGCAGTGCTCCCCAGGAGCCTGAGGTCGTCCGACGCATTTTTCAATGGAGAGGAACACCGCGGCAACAGGCTCGGCTTCAGCCCCCCCCAGCTTCCGCACTCGGCTAGCCGCCGCCCCGACCGAGTGGAGAAGGGCAGTCCGTCTGAAGCTGTCAGAGCACGAAGAAAGAGTCCAACGGTGGCGCAAAGTCCCCGTGCAGCCGCGCCTCCTGCAGTCACCAGACATGGACCTACCCGTAGCGGAATAGGCGGTGCTGGGGCCAGAGGGTGCCCGACACCAGGCTCCACGCCAGATTCCCACCGTGCTTGCTGATCACTGGCGGCCGGAAAAGGCTCTCGGGGGGCTTCCAGTTCAACTCTCAGCGCCAGCTCTGGTACCTGCTCCCCGACACAACATCATTCGCCGCAACAGGCAAGGCTCTCACAGCCAACACACCATTGTCTGGAGAGCTCGAGACTCATGAGCTCGCCCAGGGGTTCTACAAGCTCCGTCGCCGACTGCATCCTGGGTCCGATCTTGACCATAATAAGATGGAGCACCTGGGCGTGGTTGCTGCGTTGGCTCCAGGGGCACCTGGGTCTCAAGATGCCTCTAGGCTGCTCCATAACAGCTTCGGTCATGTGCCTGGCTGGTAGGGCGGCCTCGAAGCGCATGGCCCAGGCGTGGGCCATTTCTTCATGCGCTCTGACGGGGTCCCCCCACACTCTTCTGACCCGGGAGCTCTCCCATCGCACCGCAGGGCGCCGGCATTTTTTTCCGTCGCAGCACGGCGAGAGCAATCCGCGCAGGCGCTCGCAGTAGTCGGAGGCACACCACTGCCTCACTGTCGGGATGCAAGAGGGGGGGCGCGGGGAGGCAGGGCGGCCGCGGAGGCAGCGCACAGGGGGCGGGAGGGCCCTCGCAGGAGGAACAAGCTCATGGCGAGCCCGCTGGCGCGGCCAGCCGGGGCCGCGGCGCTGGGGCAGTGGGTACGGGGCGACGTCGAGGCCACATCCAAGAGCTTCAGCCAGGGCTGCAGGCGCTGAGAGCGCGGGGGGCAACGTGCCAGTGGTACGCCATTGCAGGAGCTCCGGGGGACGGCCAGGAACGACTGGCACATCTGGTTGTTCGTCACATGGCCGAGCTGCATCAGGCTTTGGTGCGCCGGGCCGTCGTCTGCTGGATGTGAGGCCAGGGCCATGCCCCAGCGGCAGCGCTCGGTGCCCTTGCGGGGCTGCGCCGAGGCGGGCGCGGCAGGGGAGGGGCCAGTGCATGTCGAGGTCGGCTAGTCATGTGGCTGCAGGGCCCCAGGTGGCGGTGGCGGGCGGAGAACTTCTGTGCATCCTCTCGGCCGATGCTTCCGCCGAACGTGAGACGTGCACCCTGCTGGCAGCATCTTTGCTCTTTTGATCCTTTTGTCCTGCTTGACCACCGATCGCAGGGCCGCCTCCGCCGAGGCTTCAGATGCCCCCGCTGCGCGCGAGGTTCCAGGGCTCCGCCTGCATCCGGCCCGCTCCCGCGATCATGGTCCCACAGTGGAAACGCATTCCACGAAACACCCTGCTTGCCTTCAGGGTGCCTTGGGTTTCTTGGGTTTCGATGGTTTTGCTATGGGAAGTGTGACGTTCCCACACCGCAAATCAATGTTCCCGGGGTCGCAGGGTTGGGTTTCTTGTGGAAGGCTTCTTGTGGACGAGCTCCTACTGTAGAGCCAAGGCCTGGGCGAAACTGCCCGTTGTGAAGACATGGGCCGCCTGCGGCTGGGGCCGTGCGCCGCTGCCGCGGCAAGCGACCCGAGCAAATCCGCCGCCGCCCCGCGCGCCGCGCGGCGCGCGCGGGCGCCCCCCCGCAGGCCTTCGAGCCCACGGGCCAGGTCCCGACCGATGCCCAGGTGGGCCGGACAGGGGCGAGGGAGGGGGAGGAGGAGGAGGAGGAGGAGGAGGAGGAGGAGGAGGAGGAGGAGGAGGAGGAGGAGGAGGAGGAGGGAGGAGGAGGAGGAGGAGGAGGAGGAGGAGGAGGAGGAGGAGGAGGAGGAGGAGGAGGAGGAGGAGGAGGAGGAGGAGGAGGAGGAGGAGGAGGAGGGGAGGAGGAGGAGGAGGAGGAGGAGGAGGAGGGGAGGAGGAGGAGGAGGAGGAGGAGGGGGGGAGGAGGAGGAGGGGAGGAGGAGGAGGAGGAGGAGGAGGAGGAGGAGGGGGGGGAGGAGGAGGAGGATGTGGTGGTTGGGGGGCTAACTAAGTAACCTCAGCCCTCGGGACCTCGTCCTGTGGGCCCTGGGATCCCGCCTCCCTTCTCCCTTAGGTCTCGCCCCTCTCCTGGCGGGGGTTCTTGGGCCCTCTCCTCTCCTTTGGTCTCTCTCATTTGGTCTCTCTCCTCTCCTTTGGCCTCTCTCCTCTCCTCTGGTCTCTCTTCCCTTCTCCTTTGGGCGCCCTCCTCCCTTCTCCTTTGGTCTCTCTCCTCTCCTTTGGTCTCTCTCCTCTCCTGTTTCCTGAGGCCAGGTCTGGTGGCGCGCGCTCGGCCAGCGGGCCCTGCGGGCGGGCGCGCGCGCGCTCGGCTGCGGCGGACGAGACCGCTGCGTGGCCGCCAGCGCGTGGGGAGGAGGAGGAGGCCGAGGAGAGAGGAGGATGGGGAGGAGGCGGAGGAGGAGGAGGAGGAGGAGGAGGAGGAGGAGGAGGAGGAGGAGGAGGAGGAGGAGGAGGAGGAGTGCGTGAGGGGGAGGAGGCCGAGGAAAGACAAGGATGGGGAGGAGGAGGAGGAGGAGGAGGTCAGACAAGAGTGAGCCCAGGGAACGCCAGCGATGCTGCAATGCACCCTCCCGTCCCAAGTCCCTGGGCCCAAGCTCGCTCAGCCACTGCCCTTCACCACGGGAGGCGCCTTTTGAACGAGGAGAGCCTCATGGGTAAGCCATTCAAGTGCGAGACCCGTTCTGACAAGGAACCGCCTTCTCTCTGCCCGCCAGCCATCAGAAGCGCCAGACGCGCCGGGGGGTAAAGGCATACAGGGTAAAGACAATGTCCAGAGAGAGAGAGAGAAAGAGAGAGAGAGAGAGAGAGAAAGACGTTATGTTTTCCAATGCTAGTTGCGTGGGGTAAGACGGAGAGGCGGTCCTGATAAAGGCATTGCTATATCTGCGAGATGGTTCTATATGTTTGACTTCTAAATGCTTCGCGTGTCCCAACCGGCTCGTCTAGAATTGATGCCCAGGCGAGTTGCACATACCAGGGAAGTGTATGGTTAAGCAGTGGGGCAGCCGTCAGAACGAAACTCGGGATCAGCCTGAGAAGACCCGGGAGTCAACAATACATGTTTTCTCTGATCTTTCGATCTGGAAGCCTCTTGGTTCTTGAGGGCCCTCTGGGGGCTCTCTTGGTGCCCTTTGAGGGGGTCTTGGGGGCTCTCTTGGGGCGATCCTGGAGGCCATCGCTAAAACAGGGAGAGTAATCAATTCGCTCCCCGCCCCGTCGGAGGCCGAGACATCGCCTCTTGGAGCTTTCCTGCGGTGCTCTTGGGGCGCTTTAGGGGCGCCCTTGGAGGAATCCTGGGGCCCTGTTGAGCCCCTCGTGGGGCTCTCTTGGGCGATACTTGCTGGAGTCGCCTGGAGGCCTCGAAAGCCTGTCGGAAGCGAAAGCACAGGAGGGTCACCACCACTGATCTTCTGTAGGTTCTGGAAGGATGTCGGCGTCTCGAGGTCGTCCTTGGTGATGTTGGGGCCTCTTCAAGGCATGTTTGGGAGCTATTGAGAGCCATCCTGGGCTATCTTGTGCCGTCTCGGGTGCCATGACAGACTATTTTCAGGAGGGGAAGGAAGCGCATGGGCACGGTTCATCGTCGATACCCAGGAACATATGGGAAACTACGGGAAGGGGGAGGAAGACGACACTCCAGAAAATCTGGGGAACCTGGGGAATCCTGGGATTTGTGTGTGTGTGTGTGTGTGTGTGTGTATGTCTGTGTGTGTCCGTGTGTGTGTGTGTGTGTGTGTGTCTGTGTGTGTGTATGTGTGTGTATATAGTTGTTTGTGTGCCACTGGGCCCCTCTATATTTGGGGTCATCCTGGAGCGATCTTAGGCTCTCTCGGTCCCTCCGGCGACCCGCGCCCCCCCCGCCCCGTCGAGACCCGGGGAGAGGGGGGTAATTACAGTCGGGGCCCTGAAGAAGGAACCCTTTTCGTTGGGGAGGGGCTCGGT